CCCCTCTTGGGGCTCTCGTAGCATTTCTTTATTTTCCCTTGGCAAAGCTTATCCATTCGTATTATAATTATGGTGTCTCTGTCCCCCACCCTGCTGCAGGCTGAGGGCAGGAGCTGCGTCTGCTTAGTTCACCATTGTATCCCTAGCAACCAGCCCAAGGCCTGTATGTAATAGGTGTTCAATAAAATATTTGTGAAATGAGTAAGTTAAGAATGTCAGAGATGCCTTCCTGGATCATTAGGCTCAGAATTTATCATTGATTAGGACATTGAGGAATGTTATATTAAATGGCATAACTATCTGACCTGTTGTCAACCTCAAAGGTTAAGGATGTTCTCAGAAGATCCTAGATCATTTTGTAAGTTGCTACCCACAACATCATCTAAATCATTTGGAAACATTTTAACATTGAAGTAGATGGTATTATTTGATGTCTTCAGTTCCTTTCTTCTTTGTGACTGTATTTTTAGCATGACCACTTAGAGAAATGAATTGCAAGAGTCTAACACTGCACAAGGTAACAAATTCTATGTTGTTTCTAAATGAACTTCTCCAAATGTCAAAGGAAACCCCTAACTTGAGTACCTAAGATGGGCTGAATATGGAAGCCCCCAAAGTGACTGTGGGTTTGGAGCTTGCCACTTCTAAACTTTCTCACCATGCTGAGTAGAGGTCATTGCAATCTGTCCCTGCTCTTCCTTTCCTCAACACAAAGTCATCATCACCCTCCTCTAGATTCTTTCTGGCCATCTTGAAGAGAGGTGACTTGTTCAGGATTGCAGAGCCTGGTTAGATGTGCTGCACTTTGAAGGCTATTTTATTTGGTGACTTCAAGAGCAATGCTCTGTGGCTGGTGCAGGGGAAAGACCCTGGATCAGGAATCAGATCTGGATTCTCCTCTGGCTCCTCCTACTCCCCATGGCCTCTCTGGGCTCCAGTCTCTTCATGAGAGAGGTTAGGATGATCACATGTGCCTCACAGGTAGGTGTGAGAACCAGAAGAAATAAGAGACATGAGGGTGCTTTATAAACTGGAAGGTGTGCAGACGTGAAGGTGACCCACACATAGTAATTGCTCAGCTAATGTCTGCTGAAGGAATCTGTCTTGTGTCCGTAGATGGTTTTGTATCCACATCTGTGCAGCACAAAGGAGCCTCCCGCTTGACTTTTGAGGATTTGCCGGTGACACCAGAGCATGCTCCCTCCATCCTTTGCATTGTTTTCTAATTGTCTTTCCTCTCTCACTCTACAACACTCAGAACTTTATCGCATTGTCAGAATGGGAAGGCTCAGCTTTTTGGCTTTGTATCTAAAATCCTGCCTTCAATCAATAGATACCAAAATGTTTTTGCAAATAGGCAAAAAGGGAGTCCACGACTAAAGCTAATGGCAACAGAATATGAGGATGATTGAGTCCAGGGAAGGAAGGAAACTAGGAAAGGAAGGAGAGAGGGACAGAGAGAAAAGAGGTGGGGGAGAGAGAATGTACAATAAAGTTATAGGGCTAACGATTTGACTTTGTCTGTCTTCCCTAATTAGGGTCTTCCAGTGGGAGGAGTGGCTGTGTTCCTACAGAGTGAATGCAGATTGAAATGATGAGACACCCAATAACCACCTCCTTCCTCCTTCCTGTTTCCTTTGGGTAGCTGCAATAGCCCTGGCCAGCACTGGAGGGGATGGAAGAGTGAGAGGGAAGAAAGAAGGAGCATGGGCTGCTCCTTACTCCTGGCTGGTCAGGTTGGTGTAGGCTACTCCCTGGAGTTCTGTAGGAATTGTGACAACACGACTTCCACAGCAGCCTCTGCAAAGCTGGCCTTCTATGCCCAAGTCCATCACATCCTGCATGCAGTGGGGCTGCCTTACTTATTTGGAAGGTAAAACAGTGGTACTTAGTGGGAGGCTCTCATTCACCACAGGTGGCACATGGCTGCACCAGCCTACAAGGGAGGAGGCAGAAGGCCCCAGCTCCTACATGATTCTGGTTCAGCTTGTGTCCCATTGAATGGAGAAAGGCTTGCTTTCCAGGAACTCACTGGGCTTTTCCCGGTCTACACAGGGCTAATTATCAAGGGTCTTGAGCACAGGTTCGAACTGCCCCTTTAAACAGAACCTGTAGGTGAAGAGCTTGCCTGGGCAAGTTCCTGGGCACTGGGGGTCGCTCTTATCCCAACAAAGGGCCATAGCAGGGCTCTTCTCGGGCTCTAAGAAATGACTTTAAGAGGCACCTAGGGCTAGCAGTAGAGAGCTACCCTGGGGCCTTGGAGAGGGCTGGTCAAACCCCCAACACTTCCCCGACTGAGCCTCAGGCTAAGGGTTGCAGCACTTTTGCTTCCTGCCCAGAATTAGGGCAGACAAGCTCCGGGTCATGCCAGGTCCTTGAGGCTTTAGAAAGGGATGTCCGCCAGTGTGCACATGGGTGGAGCGGGAGCGGGAGGAAGGGATGTCCAGGGTGTAGTGGGCAGAATTATAAAGTGTGTCTTTCTAGGCTTCTGGGGAATCTGCCTTTCTTCTTCATCCCCTTGTCTCTGCCTTATGCAGTATTAGGAGCCTTATTATCTCTTGCAAGTACTATTGTAGATGTCACCTAAATGGACCTTCCTGAGTCCAGTTTCATCTCCTCCAGTCCTTTCTTAGTACTGTGGTCAGTGACGTTTACTGAACGTCAGCTGCATGTCAGGGGTTGTGTTGCTTACCAGTGGCATAGGAATTAATTAGACCCAGCACCTGAGCCCTAGACACCCCTGATCTAGTAGGGGAAGTAGATTGTGCCAGATAATGACAAGATGGTGTCTTTAGTCTGTAGCAAAGGTGAGCTGACACTGCTTTGCAAGTCGCAACAAACCAAGCTGGTGACATCAGAGTTGACCTATAAGAGTCAAGTAGGGTTTTGCCTGACGAGGGAGGGAAGGAGGATTTTAGGCAGCAGGGCAAGCGCATACCCAGTGAGTACTGACCTGGCATGTCTGGCACCTCTAAGACCACACACAGAACAAACTTTACTCTGGACCAGTAACTAGATAGGGACTGGATCAGTCAGGGCCTCTGATGTCCTACTGAGCTGGCTGGGGTTTTTGTGAAAACCAAAATCGAATCACTTTATGATTCTCTGCTTAAAAACCGTACACCATCAGAGGGTAGAGCATCAGTTCTGTGCTGCATGACCTGCTTATGCTCTTCCCTTTCCTGGACCACCTTTTGCTGTCCCCATATTTGTCTGTTGAACTCTGATCTATTTTCAACAAGTATCTGAAGCCCAACCATCTCTTTGAATTTTTTCCATGACTGAACATTATCTTGCCTTCTTCTCATTCAATGCTCACAGCATCAAATGCCCTTTTGAGGATGTGATGTCTCCTTTGTGTACTTTGTATTATTGTTTATATCTGATTCATTTTTTTTTCTTCATCTAGACCTGCACAAGGCCTGCAACATAGCAGTGGCCAAAAGTTTGCTGACCTAGAGTCTGCTTTTCACCCCGATATGGGTTGAATTATGTTCTCCCAAAAGATACGTTTAAATCCCAACCCCTGGTACCTGTGAATGTGACCTTATTTGGCAAAAAAGGTCCTTGCAGATGTAATCCTGTTAAGATGAAGTCAAATTGGAGGAGGGTGGGCCCTAATCCAATATGAACTGGTGTCCTTGTAAGAGGAGACATGGATCACAGAAGGGGGATATTATGAAGATACAAAGGGAAGTTGGCCATGGGAAGATGGAGGAAGAGGTTCAGGTGATGCTGCCACAAACCAAAGAATGACTGGAGCTACGAGAAGCTGGAAGTGGCAAGGAGGGACCCTCCTCTAAAGGCTTGGTAAGGAGCATGGTCCTTCTAATGCCTTGATGTCAGACTTCTGGTCTCCAGAACTGTGAGGTAATAACTTTCTGTTGCTTTAAGCCCTCTAGTTTGTGGTACTTTGTTATGGCAGCCCTAGGAAGTGATACCATGCTCCTTGCTTTTCCCTTCCTCTTCTCTCCCTGTTGAGCCATGGTACTGTGCCCCGGGGGTTCTGGGCCCTGACAGCCATGCCAGGGCCTGGTCCCTCCAGCTGGGCCCCTCCCTGACTCACCACAACCACACATATCTCCTTGCTTATTGTCAAGGCCTTGCTTCCTGGTGGCTGGCCAGTTTGTATGCCATCGTTTGCTCTTGTTTTAGTATACTCTTGCTTGGGTAATAGATTTGAATTTTTACCTGGGCCTTCTAGAGACTAAAAGCTTTCACTTCCAGGAAGTGAGGAGCTCTCCCAACATCACAGAATAGCAGATGGAAGGAAACCCTGATAGCAGAGATGGAAAGAAAAAGGCTCAGAAGAAGTGACTTGGCTAAGGTCAAACCACTTTACCCCACATTCATTCATTCAGCAGATACTTATGGAGCACCTACTCCGTGCCAGGCACTGGGCTGGGTGTGGGATACACAGCAGTGATTAAAGGTAGGATAAGACCAACAAAACCTGCCCTCATGGCGCCCAGAGCCCAGAGAAGGAGGTCGCTTCTTGCTATTAATCAAAGAATCACCTAACTAGATGTAAAATTACAACAGTGATAAAGATTTATGACAGAGAGGTATATGGTGCCATGAAATCAGGATGAAATTGAGAAACTGGGTGGAGATTTCAGATTAGGGTGGGACCTTCTGATATCTGTGCAGTCATGCCTCTGCTGTTATGGATGGTAACTGCACCCTGCCTATGGACATGGCTCCCTGTGAGCAAAGAAAGAAATAATCTAAGTATGTTCTCCAAAGTAGTGGAAATCCTTAAGAAAAGGGCCATACACTTCTTAAAAATTTACTTATTCCTTTATTCATTCACTGATGCATTCAACAAACATTTATGGAACATCTTTGAGGTATCTGGCACTGGCTAAGGATACACATTCAGCTCCCTTAGCTCAAAGAACACCCAGTCCAGCCAAAAAGGCAGACATATGAACAAGCAGCTATAATCTAGTGTGGTAATGATATAACACAGAGGTAGGTTCAATGTGCTTGATCTGTAGGAATGTCATCCTGTAGAAGAAGGAAAATCCAGGTACTGCCTTGAAGGAGAGGCAGATTTTCATGAGGAGAAGTGGAGTAAGCAAAGAGAAGGAGATCCAGGCAGAGGACACAGCGTGGGCAAAGGACTGGAGACGTGCACAATTGTGACGTGCTTGGGAAGTGGCAGGTAAGTTTCATGTGGCCAGGATGCCGGGTACAGGGTTGTGGGTGTTGGGAGGCCAAGGTGAAAAAGACCCTGCTTCCATGCTTCCTGTCAATTCCTTTCCTTGAGGTTTCTAGGGCAAGATATGCTGTCATTTTCCACTGTGGAGTTCCTGCCCATTTTCAAAGTTGTAAAAATATTTTTGGCAAATGTTGTTCTTTTCCTTAAACAAGCCAAACTTAAGACATCACAGGGTGGGACCCACACCCATGTCTCTCCTTTTGCCCTTCATCCTAAGATAATATAATGAAAGAACATGAACCTTTAAGTAAGACAGACCTGGATTCAGAGCCTGCCTTTGCCATTTACTAGCTGTTTGGTTATGGACAAGTTATTTATCCTCTCCCAGCCTCAGTTTCCACCTCTGTATAATGGGGATAAAAATTCCTACTCTGCAGAACCCAGGAAAGTGCCAGGCATGTAGTAGCCACCCAATAAATATTCCTCTTTGAGATTCTGTAACTACAGAGACCATCAGAAATGGACCAGCTGTTTCTCCAAAGGCAGGAGTCAAGGTTGCTACCAGGTGCAGGCTGAAGAACACCATTTCCTTTTCTTTTAGTTTAAGTGTCTTTAGAATGAGCAAATTCAATGTCTTTCCCGTGAGGTCTCTTTACATTGAACTCAGCTGAGTCTTTGATTAGCACCAAAGCCTCATTTTTCACTTTCGACTGGTCTCCTCCCTTTTAACATTTGAGCTCTCAAGATGTTCTTTGTTTCTGTTGCAAAATATGTGTGTGTGTGTGTGTGTGTGTGTGTGTGTGTGTGTGTGTGTGTGTGTGTGTTGAAGGGAGGGGGTACAAAGAAGAGAAGTATATTTTTAGAACCATAGAGGAACTGGCAGAAATTGAAAATAAGGTTTTCAAGTTCATATGTTTATGCTTTAGGAGAGATGTAAGAGGAAAAGCTCAGTGGCGGGCTGTGTGTCCTGTTCAATATCTAAGAAAATTTCTGAGACATGCCTTCTGGCGTTCAGATTAAAAAGCACCCCTGCCCACTCGCGGCCTGCCTCCGTTCCTCTTCCCTTCCCCTAGCAGGGGCAGGGGCCTGCATTTACCAGGTGGGTGGCGGCGCTCAGAGAGGAGGAGCCTGGTGTGTCAGTGTCCATGCTCCGGTGAGCAACCTGCTTCCTCGGGTGCTATGATCAGGGCAGATTAATCCCCAGAGGTGGTCGGTGCACAATTAACATTTTTGCCTCTTATTTTAATTAAGGAGGGCCAGGGGATAGGGTGTTAGCATGTCTAATGGGACTGTGTGGCATGTGCTGACTGCCCGAGGAGTTTCAGTTATTAGCACTTGTTGAAGACTTTCTAGATAATTAAATACCACATTAATCATTGCTTCGAGTGGACATAGATTTTTATTTCTCATCTCAACTCCTTGCATGCAGGAGGCAAAGTGGCTCCTGGACCTGGTGGCTCCCCAGCACACAGGCGGGATCTCACCCTATTCGTGCCCAGTTTCAGTGATTTTGTGGAAAAGAAAAGATTCTCCCAGACATTCGCTTCGTTGTTCTGACAGCTGAAGCTCTCTTCACAGGCACATTAACATGACCTCATTAGTTTCTGCATCTACTCTTCTAACCACATAAAACGGAGTGCAGTAGGAGCCAATCATGCTAATTACATCAGATCGGTTTGCATATTCATAAACCATTTTCTGTTTTATGGACAGCAAAAATAAACACAGTATCTCTTTAATAATTTTAAGTGGGTCACTTTCAGGACTGTATCTGTTTTAAATAAATTATCATATTGTTAAAGGCCACAGTCAAAAGCTATTTTTTGAGCAGCCTGAGAGGTGGAGGGTGGGGGGCAGGGCACGTGGAGGGGACGCAGACATCAATGGGATTAGCCAATTGGTCAATTTCCAAGGTCTCTTTTGCCAGGGAAAATCCAAACTTGAAAAACCTCCCTCCTTTAGTGAACAGGTGCAGTGCAGCCTCTTACTAATGACAAAATATATCCTAGTCAGAAAGAGGAGACTATCAAAATCACAGTCTTAAGCAGTGGGAGTGAAACCCAGTAACATACCGAGTCCTGTGTTTTCTTGGAGGCGTTTAATTTTAGGGGCCAAGTTTAACATTCTGGATTTTCTCAAGGTGGGATGAAAAAATGGGGGTAAGAACAGTGAGAAGTAGGAGTCAAACCTGCAGAAATGGACTTTTCCGCTGTTCCCCATGTGTTGTATTTCTTCCCAAACAACACCGAGACCAGAGCAGGCCCACTCAAGGCCCCTATTCTGTGAGGGCGTTTCCAATCCAGGACCCATAGCCATCAACAATGGAACTGAGTTATAGATTTTTTGCTTTAGGGGGAAAAAAAGGTTTGAGAAACAAATATACACACAAGATTTGCACAGAGAGAGAGAGAGAGAGAGAGCTCATGCTTAACCTTGTTAACTTTTAACTAGGACTGTTAGCTAGGTAGTCCTGTTAACTAGGACTGTTAACTGTTTTTTTTTTTTTAACTGTTAACAGGACTACCCGAAGACCGTGTTACCCGAGACAACTGATTTGATAATGACAAATCAGTTCTAGTCATTCATTAAAAGTAGATCCTTGAGGACTAATATTGTCCTAATCTGACTGAGTACTATACATATTTTAAGGCAATAAGATGGCATTTCTTTATTGAAAAAGCATCCTGTAATCTAGACATTCCACTGACATAAGCTGGTCTTTTTCATCATGTTTAATGGAGAGGTTGTACCGCATTTATATGCAGTTACAACATCGCATTTATTTCTAGCTCTGGATCTTTCTTCCTTTTCTCTTTGTTGTAAACATTCCTGGCAGAATTAATGTGACATTTCTTAGTGATAGTTCAGGCTATCCTCATTTTGTTGTTGTTTTTGTAATGCTGCCTCCAAATGACTGGGATTGGAAGCTGGAAAGGCTCTCGTTTTCTTTAATGCACACATAGGCCTCTGACTCAGAGCTTCTTGAGGACCTTCTGCTCAACCTCCAAAAATGTTTGCATTTATTCACCTTCACCTTGGCTCTTGACTAGGCAAGTAAACTCTGAGCACAGATGGCTGCCCCATGTTATTATCTGAACCAGAGTTGAAGCTTTTGTGTGTCAGCTGCACTGATTTTGAAATACCCTATTATTTGTGCAATATACCTTGGAATTATGGTTTATAATTTCATGAAAGCCTAACATATCTGAATGTTTACAAGTTCTATCCCTTGGGGAAATATATAGTGTTCATTTCTTTTGTTTAGTCTATTTAAAGTAGGACTAGATACAAAGCAGGAGTGATTGACAAATTAATGCTCTCAGCTCCTACTCAAAAGTACTTGAATTATTAGTACAAAAAGCATGTTACAAACTGTAATAATTTTAACTCCATTTCATTGCTAAAAGCTAATAATAATGAAAACAAATGAAAATAGTAATGCAATCTAACGCTAGCCAGAATGGAAGCAGTCACAGCATTGGGACTCTGTGATCAGCTCATTAGTTCCATTAAAGCTCAGGAATCGGGGAGTCTGTTCATTTATTTTGGATTCAGTTCTGGGGGCGAGGGGAGGGAGGGAAGAGAGAAAAGAATGGTCCTATGCAGCAGAAATAAAAGCCAGCCTTCCTCCTTTGGGCCTTCTTCCCTCTGCAGCCCAGGGACTGTGTTTCCAGAGTGACAGCTATGCTCCCACAGCAGAGGAGAAGCAGCAGAGGGGCTAATGGGTGGTACCAGTGAGTGAGAAGTCACTGCTGATTGCAATTAGGACAAAGGAGTCTGGAAGGCTCAAGTCCCACCTGCGGACTGTCTCAGCCGTCTCAGGGGAGGGGAAGAGCTAGGCATACTACAGAAAACCAGAGGACCAGCCCCTGAGCAGAGAATGCCAATTATCAGGACACTTTGTGTATTCATCAGGGTTCTTCACAAAAACAAAACCAATAGAAGACAGAAGTATTATACATGTGAAGTTTACTTAAATTTATTGTAAGAAATTATATATACATATATGTATATACTAATATTTGGATAAGGAATTGGCTTATGCAATTTTGAGGCTGATCCTGAGGTCTGCAGTTGGCAAGCTGGGGACCCTGGAAAGCCGATGGTGTGGTTCCAATCTGACTCCAAAGGCCTGAGGACCAGGAGAGCCAATGGTAAGTTCCAGCCTGAGGGGAAGAAGAAGACCAATGTTCCACTCAGGGAGTCAGGCAGAAGTTCCCTCTTACTTGGCCTTTTTGTTCTATTCCGGCCTTCAATGGATAGGATGAGGCCCACCCAGATTAGGGGGTGCAATCTAGTTAACTCAGTCTCTGATTCAAATGTTCCTCTCTTCCAGAAACACCCTCACACACACATACCCAGAATAATGTTTGACCAAATGTCTGGGCACCCCATGGCCTAGTCAAGTTGACTTATAAAATTAACTATCACACTCAGGATTTCCTAATCTGAATTTTGCCTGGTCAGTATATGAGTTATTATCTATCAATGCAAAGCAAGTTGCTCTGTGTGGTTCTTCTGGTCTGAGTTGTTAGGCTGAGCTTACTCCTGCAACCGCAGTCAGGTAAGGTAGGTTGTCTAGATGATCTAGAATGGCTTTGTTCATACATCTCAGGGGATCAACTGACTGTCAGTTGGGGAGAATGAACCATGTGCCTCTCATGATCCAGCAGGCTAGCCAGGACATCTTTCCTTTACTGTAACTTTGGCCAAAGCAAGTCATATGGACAAGCCTCAAGTCAGTGTAGCAGGGAACTAACCAAGGGTGTGAATACAGAGAAGAGTTAACAAGTTGAAGGCCATTGCTGTAACAATTTGCTAGTCAATTTCCTGGTCCGCCTAGGGAGGTGCTCTCTCACCCTGGTGTGGAGGGGCAGATGTGAACAGACAAACAATGTGTTCTGTCTGGTGTTTCTTCCCAGTCTCCTGTGTGGATTCCTGGCCCTAGCCTAGCCTTTAAATGCTGGTATTCCTTAAGGTTCTGTCCTTGGCTCCCTGTAATAAGGATCGCAATATCCTGTATATTCAACCAGGAAACTCTGGAATATCCGAGCAGACTACTAGAGTACAGTTTGCAGGTGAGCCCCAAAGAGCCCCAGTTTGTAGTGGAGGCCTTGAAATATTATGTAGCCCAGTCTCTTGAAGAACATCTTTTAAATTCCCTGACAGAATGAAAGGATCGAAGATGTCTTAGGGAGTTCTAAAAGGAGCTGAGTTTATGTAGAGGTTAGCTCATCCAAGCCCAGAAGCACGGGCCTGTCTCTGGGCATAGGTGGATCCTGCCCTGGAAAATCTCCTACAAGAAAGGCAGCCTGAGTGACATGGATAGAAAATCCTTGTGGCTGCTGAAGAAGCTGGGGCCATCTCATACTTGGGGGAAAAGATGGGGGCTCAAGGACCAGGGATTTTTGGTGTCTTGCTAAGTATGCCAGGAGGTGGCTTGGAGGCAGAAACCCCATGATTACACCCATGCTTGGGGGTGTGGAACACCTGTGGAGGGGAGCGGAAATCAGACTGACTCTGCTTTTTAGAGATGATGATGAAGGGTGTCTTCCCAAGATGTGGAGCATTTAGGCCAAGACATTCCAGGAACCCTGCCTTAGCCTATGGAACCTTGGGGCCCCAGAGCCCTGGTACAGCCCGGTAGCTCAATGTGGCTGAGTGAGCCTCCAGGTTCTGCATAGATGTGGAGTCAAAATCCACACCCAACGAGCAGCAGCCAGGATGAGCACAGGGCTGCCTACAGTTCCTTCCTTGTGTTGCTTCTACCTTCAGAATTAAAATATGTGCAGAAATGCAAGTTTATTGTTATCAATCCCACCTCAGGAAACTTGACAAATGCATTTGCATGCAGATAATTAAGAGACAAAGTCAACTGAACAAAGCTTTGTCACTGAAATAATGGTTTCCTACCGTTAAGTTTATGCCTCAGCGAAGTCAAGGTGTATTAGTCTGTTTTCTCATGGCTATAAAGAACTACGAAAGGCCAGGCGTGGTGGCTCATGCCTGTAATCCCAGCACTTTGGGAGGCCAAGGTGGGCGAATCACCTGAGGTTGGGAGTTGGAGACCAGCCTGACCAACATGGAGAAACCCCATCTCTACTAAAAATACAAAACTAGCCGGGCGTGATGCACGTGCCTGTAATCCCAGCTACTAGGGAGGCTGAGGCAGGAGAATCGTTTGAACCTGGGAGGCGGAGGTTTCGGTGAGCTGAGGTCGTGCCATTGCACTCCAGCCTGGGCAACAAAAGCGAAACTCCGTCCCAAAAAAAAAAAAAACAAAAAAACTACATGGTGGTTGGGCATGGTGGCTCATGCCTGTAATCCCAGAGCTTTGGGAAGCTGAGGTAGGTGGATCACTTGAGGTCAGGAGTTCAAAATCAGCCTGGCCAACATGGTGAAACCCCATCTCTACTAAAAATACAAAAAAAATTAGCCAGGTGTGGTGGCAAATGCCTATAATCCCATCTACTTGGGAAGCTGAGGCAGGAGAATCGCTTGACCCTGGAAGGCGGACGTTGCAGTCAGCCTAGATTATGCCACTGAACTCCAGCCTGGTCAACAGAACTAGACTCTGTCTCAAAAAAAAAAAAAAAAAAAAAAAAAGAGAACTACCTGAGACTGGGTAATTTAGAAAGAAAATAGGTTTAAGTTAATTGACTCACAGTTCCACAGGCTGTACAGGAAGCATGGCTGGGGAGGCCTCAGGAAACTTACTGTGGAAAGCAAAGGGAAAGCAAACTCGTCTTACATGGTGGGAGCAGGAGGAAGAAAGAGAGCAAGGGGGAAGTGCTGCACACTTTCAA